GCGCCGCGCTTGTGGTCGTCGACTTTACCGCCACTTGGTAAACTAAGGAGTTTCTAAATGTCAATCATCAGTTTCCACTTTACACTTCTTTTTCTATATTTTAGGTGCGGCCCCTGCCAGCGCATCGCGCCCGTCTTTGAGCGCCTCTCGCAGGAGTACTCCGCCCGCGGCGTCAACTTCCTCAAGGTGGACGTCGACGAGTGTCAGACGACGGCTGCAAACAACAACGTCTCCGCTATGCCCACCTTCATCTTCTTTCGAAATCGCGTCCCGGTCGCCCGTCTGCAGGGCGCCGACCCGAACGCCCTCGCCTCGAAGCTGAAGGAGCTAGTGGANGACAACAACAGCCTCGGTAACGCCTTTTTACCGGGCAGCGGCTTCTACCTCGAATCGGACTGTGACGAGCAGCTGATCATCAGCATCGCCTTCAACCAGCCGGTAAAGCTGCACTCGCTGAAACTGCTGGCGCCGGCCACCAACGGCCCGAAGACGCTGAAGCTCTTCATCAACCAGCCGCGGACGTTGGACTTTGACCAGGCCAGCAGCATGGAGGCGGTGCAGAAGGTGGAGGTGGAGACGGCCGATCTGGTCGAGGCGAAGCCCATTCCGCTGCGCTTTGTCAAGTTTCAGAACGTCCAGAATCTGATTGTGAGTGAACCGTGGTGATTGATCTTTGGTGGTGTTCTATTTACCAACTTTGTTTTCTCGCCATTTCATTAGATTTTCATCGAAAATAACCAGAACGGCTCCGAGGTGACCCGTCTCGACAACCTCACCCTCATCGGCCAGCCCGTCAACGCCACCAACATGGGCGAGTTTAAGCGCATCGCCGGCAAGGCGGGCGAGTCGCACTAAAAACTAAAGAACACATCTCCTCAAAAAGCGGACACTCAAAAACTCAAAAACCTTCCCGGCTGAATTTTTCCTCTTTCTTCTAATTTACCCCCTTGAAGCCCACTTTTTCTTTTCTTCTCTTCTCTTGATTTATTGCTCCCATTGGTCTTTTACCACCACCACCACTCAAATTCCAAGTCGAGTACAAACAAAATAAAGACATCCGATCCCAGGGAACAACACACAGTGGTCGGATCAAGAAGGAATTCCAAAAGAGAGATTAAATGATTTAATGGCGGCGCAAGTATGAAATACGGGGGGACATGAAAGTGTTTATCGGAATAATCAACTCAAGATCTTCAACATTACATAAAAAGGGTCTCCTCCTTCTTCCGCTTCGTCATCACCGTGCCCGGCTTGTGCTGCGCATCGGGGTGATTCGCCAGCTCCGGTGGACAGCTCGACACTGGACTGCTAGTGAGCAGGGCCTTCAGGTCGTAGAAGAGGCCCGAATCGTCTTTTGTGAGCAGGCTGATCGCCTTGCCGTGCTTACCGGCTCGCCCAGTTCGACCGATGCGATGCGTATAGTCCTCAATGCTCTTCGCCATGTCGTAGTTGATGACCAGGCTGACGTTTCGAATGTCAATACCGCGGCCGGCGACATCGGTAGCCACCAGGATGTCCTTCGCCCCTGACTTGAGGCTGGCCAGGGCGTACTCTCGCTGCTCCTGGCCCTTGCCGC